GTGAAATTGATGGCTGGAGGAGAACTATCTGACTACACTTTGCTAACTCAGTTCCTACATTAATATGGTTGGCTAATCTCCAAGGAGTTGGAAAGACAACGGTGTGCGCTAAACTAGCTTTTTACTTAAAGAAGCAGCAGGTAATGCTTTTTCAATATACAGTGGAGATTTTTTTATTTCAATGTAGAGATAAGAATCACATGAGCCATTTTGACAAAGCTAGATGGTGATTCAAGAGCTGCTGCTGCTTTGAGTGTGAAGGAGGTTTGTGTTACTTAATTAATGCGTGTTTGCTTCACATTTTGGTGTCTTTTTTCAGGAAGCAAGCAGAAAGTTTTTGTCTTCATGAAAATCCTGTAGGCTTCAGATGCAGAGCTCTACCGGCCTGGTAAGTGATCATGTATTTTTCAGCTTTCATTTATGTCTCAAGCTAGATCCAAAAGCTTACTGAAATTGAAATTTGAATTCGAAGTATGCATAGTGAAGTCTGCTTGAAAGAATGGTTTGTTTTTTTCCTTTTTATTATTGCTTCCTGTGGAGTTATTTGTTTGTATTGTTTAAGGTGGCAATGCAGGACCTGAAGCCGCAAGTGCAAAGGTTTATTCCGGAACAGCAGGTTAGCGTAGACACCTTTTACACAGCAGGTTAGTTGTTTATTTGTTCTGATGGTTGAGATTTTTCTTAACTGCTACTTACAATGAAAATCTTTTACTTTTCTAGTTCCCAATATCAGGACCGTCTGAAGAAACTCAAATCAGAACATGGGAAGGTCCAACTGGGAAACACCACTGTTGATATAGTAGAATGAATGATGATTTTACGTTTTTGGTTTGTTTATATCATTTTCACCTTCCATATGGCTTATTATGGCTATGTTGCAGATTGTAAATGATGAGCAAGTGGACTGATGGGTGGAGGATTGGGTGAAATCAAAGATTATTGATGGACATGGAAGATACACAGCAGAAGGAGCCAAGTGAAGAGCCGAGATATTCGTTCATCGACTGGTGTACTCGAGGAGGCTGCTTGCAGATCAAAAAAGGTTAAGGGTTTCATTTTTCTGCAGGCTTGGTTACCGTTTACTTCCGTGTCAGAATTTTTAAGGACGTTAACTCTCTCTTAATCTTTCTGTTAAGTTAACTTTTTGTTTTTTCTTTTGCTTATTATGATTTCTTATTGTTCTGTGATTTCAGGTTTTCAACAGCTGATTCAAAAGGAGTTGATGAGTATGAGGCAGCAGAAGTAGAAGGTTTGTTTACCTGTTATAAAAGCTATAATCTGATTTTTATGGATTATTCTTAATCTTTTTAGGGTTTTATTTTGCTGCAGGCTTGTCTTGGTGACCGTTTAATCTTAGGTCTGATATTGTAAGGACGTGAATTGTCTCTTAATCTTTCTTTTGAGTTAGCTTTGCATTGGTTCTTTTACTTATTTTCATTTCTTCTTGTTCTGTGATTTCAGGTTTTCAACAGCTGATTCAAAAAGAGTTAATGAGTCTGAGGAAGCGGAATTAAAAAGGTTTGTCTACTTGATACTACTAAACCTTGTTTTGCTTAGCAGTATGGTGTCTTCTTTATAGTTTCAAGATTTCTCCTTTTATCTTATGTAATTTGGGAATAATTTCTGAAGCTTGTGTCCTTTTGTGCTTCACAAACCAGGAACTATTCATGGAGCGTTATAGAGGGTGAAGAAGATCGAATAAATCCTCATATCAACAAAGAAGAAGCCATAGACTTTACTGTAAGGTTTACTTGTTACTACTAAACTATGCTTACAAGATTTGATCTGTTTTTGTTCATTCTTAGTCAGAGTTTATTGGTTTTATTTTGCTGCAGGCTTGGCTTGGTCACTGATTAAACTCAGGTCTGATATTGTAAGAACGTTAACTATCTCTTCTTTCTTTTGAGTTAGCTTTTCATTGGTTTTTTTTTTTCTTATTATGATCTCTTCTTGTTCTGTGATTTCAGGTTTTCGATAGCTGATCCAAAAGGAGTTAACGAGTCTGACGAATCGGAATTAAAAGGTTGGTTTACTTGTAATTTACTACGAAACCTTGTTTTGCTTAGTACTGTTGCCAGATTAAGCTTATCAAATTGGTAGACTTTCACACCTCTTGTTCCTTATTTTGCTTAGCTCTGTTGCAGATATATTCCTCTTCAAGTATCTTGTACATTTTTTAAAAAAAATTGGCTTTTACACCACGGAATGAAGGTACATATATATTCTTCATATTTTCAAAATTTCTTTTTATCTTGTGTAATTCGGGGATAATTTCTCAAGCTTGTGTCCATTTGTTTTTCACAAACCAGGAAACTACACATAGAGCGGCTCAGAGGATATCAACAAAGAAGGAGCCATGGACTTTTACACTAAGGTACACTTGTTTTCTTCTTGTGTTTATGTATATTGAGGTTGACATTAAAAATTTAAAGCAAGATTGGTTAACTGTTTTTAAGGTCTACAAGAGGAGATCAAACCAGTTCCTATAGAACTGTTAATAGGCCAGCTTGGTACAAGGAGAAGGTAAATCCTGAAAACAAGGTGACCTTTAATTTTTATGCTGTTCGGTTTCTTTTTGTTTTAAAGTATATTTGTCTGATTCTTGTGTGTTAAATCTCATCGTCGTCTTAAAATTGATTATAGGTTGGCGAGAGTATGTGATCCTATCTTGGCCAAGAAAGATGATTCGCTCGCCTACAACCATGTTTCTACATTGAAAACTAACAAGGTCTGTTTCTCTCAAATCTTCAATCTTTTTTTCTTCTCTTATGGCATCGACCCGATAATGTTTGATCTGTTTCACATGTCTCTTACCTTTAGTTGCATCTTCCCCATGGAAGATACACAAGGAGCCAAGTGGAGAGCCGAGATGTTTGTTCAATAGACTGGTGGACTCGAGGAGGCTGCTTGCAGATCAAACGCAAAGGCCAAGGTTTCAATTTTTCTTCTCTGTTTTTTTTTTTTTTTTGG